TCATATATTAATTTTAGTAATAGTGTTACTTTTTTTTATCATTTCAATAATCTAATCAATAACTTTTTCCACGTATTTTATCATCGTATCCTTCAATTCCTAGACGTTTTATTATTATGTGAAATATCTAACAAGCTAATTATAGAATTTTAAAAAAAATGTTAAAATGACACATTTTCACAACAAAATTAAATAACAATGTTATTTTGCTTTTTAGACTTTGTACCCAGTAACCTTTCATTTAAATGATAAAATCCACAAAAATAAATTAATTAAATAGTAAATATACATTCAATCTTTATTTTATTCTACATTTTTTTAATATTATTTTTCTCCCAATTGTCCCCTTTGTTATATTAAATGTCGTGTATATTTATTTGTACAGACAAATGATAGGTTCTCCAACTCCTACAAGAGAAGTGTCCGACAATACAATGGACTCAAATCCGGATCCATTTAAAGCTCCTGACCAATACTTTTTAAACGGAACAGGTAAGATCGAAATGTTTTTTTTTTTCTTATCTATTCTCTTAATTATTTTAGTTATATAACTCTCATATTTTAAAATTTTCGCTAAATAATAGTAAATTCTTATGTTTTTTCATCTCTAAATATTTTAATTTTTTTGGGATGATTCCTAATTAAAATTTTGACTTATGTTATTTCTGGAATATTTATCAATCAGCCTATAATGTGTTGCTATATAGTCAAATAATAGTGGTAAATGATGCTATATCATTAATTATATATTAATTATTTTATAATCTTTCCTAGTAATAAGAAATTATTTAATTGTATATTTTGTTAAGTAATTATCATTGTTTTTGTTAAATGTAAATAAAAACTGACATGATATGAGAAATGTATTAAAATTGAATATTTTATCTTTGTTAGTTTGAAGGAAAAGTCTTTAAAGGAATAAGAATTAAAAATGGTAATAATATTGTTTGAGTTATGCAGTAATTAAGAACCATAAAGGATATTGTCAATTAATTCAAAACAAACAAAATCTTATAGAGTAAGTGTAATGTTTCAGGAGATTCTCAGGAGAAGTTTTTGAAGTTTTGCGTGCCACTTCACAAGTATGGTTTAGAAGGCAATTGGACAGAAGCCAAAGTGATCTTAGACAAAGATAAGAGACTGGAACATGCAGCAATAACAAGTGGTTGGAGTACATTATTGCATGTTGCTGCAGGTGCAAACCATGTTCACTTTGTGGAGGAGCTACTGCAAGTGCTGAGTGATGAACACATCGATTTGCGAGATAGCAAGGGCAATACTGCCTTCTGCTTTGCTGTTGCTTCTGGAAATATGCGCATTGTTGAATTGTTGCTGAAAAGAAACCCCCACCTACCCAGAATCAGGGGTGGAGGAGGACACACCCCTCTAAAGTTTGCTCTAATGCAAGGAAAATGCTACATGGCACAGTTTCTCTATGACAAAACCGAAGAAGTATTTGAGGATTTAGACCGAAGATCCTTGTTCTTCACCTGTGTCGAGACCGGAAATTACCGTATGCAATTTTAATGAAATTTAATAATAGAGTGTCTAGAAAAATTACACTCCTTTGTTTTACAGTAAAGCATGCTAAATATATATCAAACATTTTTCAGACATGGCCTTACAAATGGCAAGAGAGTGGCCCAATCTAGCTTGGGAACGTGATCAGAATAATGATACAGCTTTGCATCTCTTGGCTCTAAACAAAAATCCTATGGATTCTTGTTGTCATTCTCCACAGCTTCCAAATCCCATCAAGATCAATCCAGGTAAATTCTTATATTCAAAACACATAAGCAAAATTAGGACACGTAACTTGAATTTTTATATACAGTGGAGCTTTCAAAATTTCCTTTTTCTTTTACATATGTTTCATTGCATAGCGGCCGATTTTTTGTAGTGCAGGAATGAACCAACTTATGATCTTTCAATTGGTTAAGTATCTCTGGAAAACCATGCTGCGCCACAAAACCCTCTCGGAGGCAATTGAAATCATAAGTGAACCTTATCAACTATTGTTCGACGCTGCTGAAGTTGGTAATTTTGGATTCTTATCAGAACTTATCAGTGCTCACCCCAGTTTGATATGGGAAGTTGACAACAAAAATCAAAGTATAATTCACACTGCAGTTTTGTTTCGCCATGCTAGCATCTTCAATCTAATACATGAGATAGGGTGCCAAAAGGATCTTATACTAACCTATATTGTGAAAGAAGACAACCCTTCCTTTTCTTTGCCGAAAATAAAGAACAACAATTTGTTGCATTTGGCTGCAAAGTTAGCTCCACCAGATCAACTTGAATTAGTTTCTGGAGCAGCACTTCAAATGTGCCTTGAGATAATATGGTTTGAGGTAAGTTCTAGTTCTTTTACTTTGCATGCTTTTGCATTTTCACATTATACTATTCCTTCTATAAATCAGAATGTGTATAAAATGTATTATAGTTATATTTTACAATTTTTTATACTATATCTTCAAATGTGTGCAGGAGGTGAAGAAAATAATGCCTCAATCGTACGTAATAATGAAAAATTCTGATGGCCTAACTGCTCAGGAATTATTCACAACACAACATGAAGGATTGCGAAAAAAAGGAGAAGAGTGGATGAAACGTACTGCAGAGTTTTGCATACTCATCTCAACTGTTATTGCCACAGCAGTGTTCTCTGCTGCGATTAATATACCAGGTGGTATTGATTATGAAACAAAAAAACCAAATTTTTTGAACCAAACATCATTTTTGCTATTTGCAATATCAGATGGAGCTGCTTTCATCTCATCTTCGACTGCAATATTAATATTCTTGTCTATTCTCATGTCACGTTATGCCGAGTATGACTTTTACAAGTCACTACCCTTGAAGTTGATATCTGGACTCATAACTCTATTCATCTCCATAGCATGTATGATGGTAGCATTTGGCAGTGCCTTCTTCATAACATACAACTACGGTTCGAGGGTTATACCTGATTCAATAGCAGTACTCGTTTGTCCACCCTTGCTTTTGTATATAGCTCTGCAATTTTCTTTATGGTCAGATATCATATATTCAACCTTCTATTGTAGGACTCTGTTTCGACCAACCAAACGTATGATCTATACTATTAAAGATATATAATAAATTCTTTACTCGATGTGTATATTGATTTTAATGTGCTGTTTTATCATTATGGAGCAGACTGTACTAAACTTTTGTGTTGAAATAAGACTGTGTCTGTTAAAAAAAACTAAGAATAATATTATATTTTTTTTTATATATATGTTTTTTTGTCTATTAAAAGAATTATATTAGGGGAGATCATCGTGATGTCCAAATTATATATAAACACCACTTCTTCCTATATACAAATTATAGAAATTGTGTGGATATCAGGATATAAATACTTAATAATCACCACTTCCAATGACCGAGCTTTAACATCATCTTGGCAAAAATTTACTGATAAATGTAGTCTCTTGCATCTGCCTCCGAAGCAAGCAATACAAAGAGGTCTCAAGAACCATATAACCCCATGACTACTTCTTAAACATCTTTTTCTGATGTATTATTTCTTCTTAATCTGTTCCAGCATTTTCTTTCCACACTTTCCTTTTTGTTCACTTACAACACGATACTTATGGTATCACTTTATCGTATATTTGTTAATATTCTTCCAATTCTTAGTCACTAAGTATAAACGGTCGCTCACATCCTTTTCCACCCACCCAATACGTTATCATTTTGAGTCAATCATTTTCTAATATTCTCCGTATTCATCGTATAGTACATTTGTCTGAGAGCCTATATCAACCTCTTTACAACTCTAATGAGCTTATGTTTGCTCCCTTATTAATGTTAGTTACTCCATTCAACCTGAAACCTATATGCGTAAACTAATTATAAATTATTGAGATTATTTTTTCCAAAACATATATTGGAATTGTATTTTCTGTTTTGGATTTTATTTTCACGTCCGCTGACTAAGACTTTCTCTTATACATTATGCATATTCGTCTAGAAGCAACTTGGAGTTGAGGCATCCCTTACCTGGAAAGTGTAAATGTCAAAACCATGGAGTAACAGTGAGCAACAAATACAAAAGGAATATTCCAGAATGCTTCTTCAATTGCCATAGATCTACCTCTCTTTCTACTATATAAACAGCGTTCTCCTTCATTTAACATCACACCGCAGCACCATCATCATCTTCTTCTTCAGGCTTCTTATTTCTCATCATCATCTTCTTCTTCAGGTTTCTATTTCTGCATTACTCCTCCTCTTAATTCTGCTCTTTACTTTTAACCTCCGCTCTCAACTTCTGTTGCATTGTGGTTAGATGATGCATACTAGTATTTTATACAGTAAATATAGTGTTATATGTTCTACTATTATACTTAAGATTTATATATAGAGTTTGTTTGAGCATCTATGATATTTTCCTTTTAATTAAGTAACTTTTTTTCATTTTAATTCATGTTCTTTTATTTTTAAACATCAATGATGAGATTATAAAACTACAAAAATACTTCTTCTCAAGGATAGACATTTTAGTTTAAAAATATTGTTTTTTATATTTTTTATATGAAATGTAAATGATTAAGTCATACTTAAAAGAACGCCTTGATAAGAGATTAGGCTTTCAAATGCAGCTTTGATTATTTTTTATTATTTTCATGTTGAAATTATGTAACATAGTTTTAATATATTTTTTTATATGTAGAAGTCAAGAAGTATATTTTTATAAACGTAACTTTAGTGTAAATTTAAAATACTATTAATTACTCATTTATATGAGTTTTAAATCAATAAGTATGTTAAAATTTCAGTCACACGTCGTTATATACGAAAGATTTGTGGTACAATAATTGGGCCAAAGGCTGGGGAAAGTGGGAAAGCAAATTTGAATTGTTGTCAGATACGACCATTCAATTATTGTACTCATTTCTTATCTTCTTTTTAGGTAAATTTCACAGTTCTCATATTTTCACTTTTATATTTCACAGTTTTTTCTTTTCTCTCTTTTGTTGTAAAATTCAGTTTCTCATCTTATTAAGCGTTCAAGTTTTATTTGGCAAATTCTTACGGAAAAAATATTTTCACACATACTTTTTTAAAAATATTTGAATACAAAATACACGTATTATTTTATTATTCTGTTAATGTATTTTAGACTCATTAAAAAATTGACAGGTACACTATTTCCAAAACTTTATGTTAAAATATCATTGACCGTGCTATTATATACAGGACATTTGCCCATTTGGCAGGACAATTGTCATTAGTATATTAACTTTTTACCCACCTGTCAATTCAACTTTCATCACGTTTTTTTAACCTAAAACAATAAAGATGGTGATACCGAACATTTTGTCTTTTGTTTTTTTTCTCCTTCCAGAGCATGCGTTGTCTGTATATTTCTAAACGATGATGTAACATAAAAAGTTTAAAAAGAATTACAGACGTTTATATAAATTTTTATTTTTCCATTACATACTTATATACATTTTGCTATCCAACCATTACTATTTCGTAAATTCACTACTAAATTTTCCGTATATTTTACTAACTAACATTTTTTTTAAGTTATATATGCTTTTTTTTAATGCTTAGCAATATATTCATTAAAATAATTTAAAATATAAATTGATATCATTTTATAAAATTGATCATTCAACGATTATCATTTTAATTTTTTTCCATAATATATATATATATATATATATATATATATATATATATATTATTACATATTTAATAAATTGATAAAATATTAATAATGTGGAAATGATATCAGCCTACACAAATAATTTAAATAAAAATTAATATAATAATAAACTATATAATGAAATTTGTATTTATTCTACGTCTGTCTACTTCCTTTTCTTTTTTTCTTTATTTATATTAAGAATGTATATGCTTGTGTTGTGAATACAGTCTCTCAATATAGAAAGATAATTATACAGGGAAATGGCGGACTCTTCAACTCCAACATCACAGTCCAACCATACCGTAATATCCAATGCAGATCCTCTGAATGCTCCTGACCTTTCCTTTTTACAAGAAGAATTTTTACCAGAAGAAAATGGTAACATTTATCTTTCAAAAATAATTTTCTTCGTTCATCTTGGATAAAACTATTTTGGATTAACTGTGTTTTTAGTTTTTGAATTTATATGTGAAATTAATTGTTTTTAAAATTTTGATACATTTTCGTTATTAAACTTTAAAAATAATGGATGTAGATCTTTTAATCTAATAACACTAATTTTTTTTGAGTTATTAAATGGGACTCTAAATTAACACTTGAACGTATCAAAACCTAAAACACATATAACATTGGTCAAATATCAAGACAAGAAAGAACATATGAAAGATCTCTTTGTTTGGAATTGCTTACTTGTATTATGCAATCTCTTTTGTTAAATACGCAATATATAATACTTTTATATTAATATTAGATATTGCAAGAGATATGCAACGAAGAGAGAGAATATAAGAGATTTTCTATTTATAGAGAGTAATGGAGAGTGAGATTATAGGAGATTTTCTATTCATAGAGAGTAATGGATGATAAATCCTAGTAGTGATATTAGTGGGAATGGAAGGTAGAGAGATGACAGTGTTGGTCAAGGATTCTCCAATATAATGACAATCTATTATAATATACTTTGTACATTTATGAAACATTAGATTTGTAGCAATCTCAATAACATTCGTATTATCAACGAATAAGTGTAGATATACCTTGAGAAAACTGAAGTTGTTCCAAAAGACCACGTAGCCACACAACTTCAGCATAAGTAGATGACATTGAACGTTATAGTAGAAAATTTGGAAACACGATCTTGCTTCTTACACTTTTCAAGAAATGAAGGCACTACTAAAAAACATACACCAACATGTAGTAGACCAAGGAGTATCTGAACAACATGCCCAATCAACATCATTGTATGTCACAAGTTGTAAAGATGACTCTTTGGACCACATGTAGGTGATTTTTTAAGGTATCGAATAATGCGACGAACAACAACAAAATGAAGATGATGAAAAGTAAACATAAACTGGTTGATATGGTGAACAACATATGAAATGTCGATAAAGAGTGGGATCTAGTAAACTATCTTCTTTATCTTTATGATACTTGACATTGACTTCCATTGAAGTATCAACTAATGTAGTTCTGTCTAAACTCGCCAATTGAATCTAATCTTGAATGTACTTTTATTGGTTTGAAAATATTCCATTAGATCGATGATGTACCTCCAATCATAAAAAAATAAGTGAGTTGTCCAAGATCTTTCATGTGAAATGTTGCATGTAGATCAATGTGCAACTTCTTAATTAAGTCATGATTAATTCTCGTAATGATGAGATCATCAACATAAACCAAAAGAAGGATATACCAGTGGAAGACTTGTGAAATAAGAGACAATAATCATATTGACTTTGCTTGAAGGAGAACTGAAGTAAAGTAGTATGAAACTTCTCAAACCAAGATCGAGGAGTCTATTTAAGCCCATACAAGGAACGTAGTAGTTTACAAACATCAGTGGAGAAAGAAGTAAGCATACCAAAGGGAAGTTTTATGTAAATTTCTTCTTTAAGATTAGCGTAAAGAAAGACATTCTTCACATCCATTTGATACAATGGACAAGATTGAGAAGCAACCATAGCAAGGATTGTCCAAATTGCATTAATCTTGGCAACATGAGCAAATATCTCCTCATAATCAATCCCATACTCTTGTCTATTAGCAAGAGCTACTAACTGAGCTTTATAGCAATCTAAAGAGCCATCATATCGAAGCTTGACAGAGAAAACCCATTTACTCCCAATAGGTTTTATTGTGGGAGAACAAGACACAATGTCCCATGTGTGATTTTCTTGAAGTTCCTAGAGTTCTTCTTGCATTGCCTTTTTCCAACATTTATGTTCCATAGCTTAGGTATAACTAGAAGGAATAAAAATATAAGACAAGGTAGTTAATAAAGAAATAGGTGTAAAATCCATACTAATCTAGGGGTTTCGAGGATCAAGTGGACTGACAAAGAGGTAAAACAAACAAACAAAGATCCAATGCAGGAGGTGGGTCAAGATCAAGTGTTAGAACATTATCATGAAAGGTACCATGAAGATGAGGATGACATCTTTCATACACAAAAACAAGCTGGAACCATTCCACAATTTGTGAAGATTCTAAAAATATGACATAAGAGATAAAGATAGAGATGAAGGTGCAACGTATGAAGGAAATAAATATTGATTTTCAAAGAATATTACATTCTTGGAAACTCTAATGCGACAAAGTTGAGGATGACAGCAAACATAACCCTTTTGATTAAGAACATAGCTTAGAAATGCAAGCTTAATAAATTGATTAGTGAGTCCATGACGTTCATGAAGAGGAAGAATATTTTTACATTAATAGGTGATGACAAGAGATATGAAATAAAGGAATGAATTATAGGAGATTTCCTATTTAGAGAAAATAATCGTTGATAAATCCTAACAACAATATATGAAAGGTAAAAAATAATCTAATAAAGACAAAAAAATATATTAACAACCACGTCAAAAAAATTTAATAAAATTGAGTTTGAAAAACTACATCCATTCAGTTTTAAAGTTTAAAAACAAAAATGTATCAAAATTTAAAATAAGTATAAATTCTAATTTCACATATAAGCTGAGGAACTAAAAATATTCTTAATCCAACTATTTTTTATGCTGTAACGTGACAAACCAAAATATATTATACATGTTTTTGAGTTTGTGATTTTTTTTATTCGTAACACACAGGAAGGCAATTGCATACTATCTCTGTTTCAGAGGAAGAAATGCACCCATTTTTTAAATTTTGCGCGCCCCTTTACAAATATGGTATGAAAGGTGATTGGGCAGCAGCTAAACTGATCTTAGTAAACAATGACAGACTGAAACATGCTGCAATAACAAAAGGTTGGAGTACACTGCTCCATGTTGCTGCAGGTGCTAACCATTCTCACTTTGTGGAAGAGCTGCTACGTATGCTCGACAATGAACACGTTTCACTGCAAGATATCAAAGGCAACACTGCTTTTTGCTTTGCTGCATCATCTGGAAACATGAGTATTGCTAAATTATTAATAGAGAAAAGTCCACACTTGCCAACAGTCAGAGGTGGAGGTGGGTACCTCCCAATTCAATTTGCTGTCATGCAAGGAAAATGTGAAATGACATGGTTTCTGTATAGCGAAATCCACAGAGAAGAATTCGAAGAACCTGATAGGAAATCGTTGTTTTTCTCTAGTATCAAAACCGGCAATCATAGTAAGCATTATTTATTTTGAAGTCCCTGAACGGTTGATGTTCTTTATTAATTCTTTAAAATTTAAGACTAACATAAGCAGTGTGCTAAGTAATAAGTAGTTAAGAATTCATTTTCAAGATTTATTTGAGCGTACAATAACACAGTATGCATTCACTATTAAGGTCTGTTAAAATTTATGAAATTAGTATTACTTTTAATTTAATTAATCTTACAAATAACTCCATATTTTTTAATCAATTTTACTAAGATATTTTAAGAATATGTTTCAGGACACAGTGATTAAATACTTATTCAAATACTTTCTAGGGTTTGCCTTACAAATAGCAGAAAAGTGGCCAGACCTAGCTTTGGCACGTGATGAGAATGATGACACAGCTTTGCATATCTTGGCTTTCGATCAAACGCCCTTACATTCTTGTTCTCATTGTCGTGATATTGCAAATCCCATCAGCATCAACCCCGGTAAATTCTTACATTCACCAATAAGTGACTTTTGAATTTTTACATGTTTCGGTTAAGTAACAGATTTTTTATGTTGCAGGAATGAAAAAGGTTGTGACTTTGCAATTGGTTAAATATCTCTGGGAAAAGATTCTTCTCAAAAAAAAGATCTCGGAAGTAATTCGAATCATAAGTGAACCTTACCAGGCATTATTTGATGCAGCAGTAGTTGGTAACTTTGGATTCTTATCAGAGCTTATCAGTGCTTACCCTAATTTGATATGGGAAGAGAACGAAGAAAAACACACTATAATTCACACGGCAGTTTCACATCGCCATGCTGATATCTTCAATCTAATACATGAGATAGATTCCCAAAAGGATCTCATAGTAACATTAATGGTCAATCTAAGTCATCCTTCACCTTCTGAAACTGAAGCAATGACAAATAACACTTTATTGCATTTGGCTGCAAAGTTAGCCCCCTCACGTCAAGAATTAGTTACTGGAGCAGCATTCCAGATGTGCCTCGAGAAAAGGTGGTTTGAGGTAACCAATCTTATATTTCATTAGCTTTGCATGCTTTACTTTTTCAAATGGAACTATTCTGTATACGTGTTTCAGCCCAACACCAACACATTTCAATCCTGTGTTATAAAATTCATTTATCATTTGAATTAAATTCATCACCATCTTCTATACTAACTCTTAACGTATATATGTCAGGAGGTGAAGAAGATAATGCCTCCACATCTTATAATAAAGAAAAATTCTGCTTTTCTAACTGCTAAGGATTTATTCACAAAGGAGCATGAAGGATTGCGAAAAGATGGAGTAGAGTGGATGAAACGTACTGCTGAGAATTGCATGCTTATCTCAACTGTTATTGCTACAGCAGTGTTCTCTGCTTCGATTAATATACCAGGTGGTATTGATGATGGAACAAACAAACCAAATTATTTGAACCAAACATCATTTTTGGTATTTGCAATATCAGCTGGAGCGGCTTTCATCTCATCTTCAACTGCAATATTAATATTCTTGTCTATTCTCATGTCACGTTATTCTGAAGATGACTTTTACCGGTCACTGCCCTTCAAGTTGATATTTGGACTTCTAACTCTATTCATCTCCATAGCATGCATGATGGTAGCATTTGCCTGTGCTTTCTTTATAATGTACAACTATGGTTCGTGGATTGTACCGAATTCAATTGCAGTACTTGTTTGTCTACCATTGCTTTTATATATATTTCTGCAATATTCGTTATGGTCGGATATCATATATTCAACCTTCAATTGTAGGTCTCTATTTCGTCCAACCAAATGTATGATCTATACATGATCTGTATTATTAAAGTATAACATTTTAAAAAGTATATATATAACAAACTTATTATTCAAGACGTGTATTCTTTTTATTTTGTTGTTTTATCATTATACAAAACCTTTGTGTTGTGGAGCAGACAGTACTTAATTAACGTTTGTGTTGAAATGAGGCAGAATGTGCCTATTAGAATAAAACTACAAGAAACATTATTATGGTGATATTTAAACTTACATGCTACTTGTTGATAGGTTTTGGCAACCATGCTTCAACTGTTACACCACACCACCTGGCCACACTCTTCCTCTTTTCCTCCTTCTCCACTCCACCACCTCACTTCACTCTTTCTCTTTCCCTCACCTTCTTCTCAACTTCCATCTAAATAACTCAACTTGCTATTTCAAACATTCAGACGCAGCCCATAACATGATTTTAGAAAAAAGAGGTTTGCCCATGAAAATAGTAATAAAATAAGCAGTGAGTTTCGGAGCAAAGCATGGCGATTTACGAAAACATTTGTGTGTGAAAAGGAAACTCGTTGTTATGGTGCATGGCTTGTGCCACAAGGAGAGAAACCGTCAACATATGGCGGCTTGTCAAATGCAAACGCAACGCGTGACTCCATTTAAATGATTTAGCAAGATCTTCACCTAAATATTTCAATTCAATTTTTAATTTAAAATCTTGGACTCGAAACGTAGGTTTTACCATTTCATAAGGATTTCCTTTTGATTTCATTTAAGGTTTTTTCTTTCCATAAATTTCTCATTTTTTTATGTCTTTAAATGCATAATTTAGAGTTTCCACAAATTTGGCATCTTATGAGATTTTGGGGAAGTTGTTGAATTCAAAATTTGAAATTTGAATTCTAATAACTTGGACATTCGTAGCAGGTTTATATGTACATATATACCTTTTCTTATATATTTATGCATGTTGTAACCCTTTGATTTTAGAATTTCTGTTGAATAAACAACTTTTCTCTCTAGAAATACTGAGTCCTGAGATGGGGAATGTTGCATATATTATAATAATAGGTTTTGTCTATGTTAACTTCTTTTACTAATTTTATCTTTTTTCCTTTTGAAGCTCTTTGTTTGTTAAAGGTTCTAAAGTTCAAATGTTGTTACTATTGGAAAAAAATGATCAAAGTAAAAGAAAAAAAACTACTTAATCAAATATCAAAATGATTTTTATAAGAATATTTATATATTTTTTTACTAAATCATTTTTGTGTCCAAAACTTAAAATAATTTTTATGTAATTAATATATATTAGTTACTTAAAAAAATATAATATAATGTACATATATGAATTTTTTCTTACTATATATATAATACATATTATTTAATTCATATATATGATATTTTTCTATTAAGTTTTAATGAAATATTTACAATAATAAATTGTAATGAAATATTTATAATGCATTTGAATTTAAGTCAATATTATTAACTTTCCAAATTGAATTAACTACTATACAAGAAATATGGCTTTAATATTATATTTGTTTTGTATGTAAAAAAATTAGCTTTTATAATAGAAGATAAACTTTGCTTTGAAGAAAAAAAAACGTGCTTAACTATTTTATTTCTAATTTATATTTTATTTCAATTATTTCTTTTAATGTACATATTCGTTTTTAAATTATTTTAATTCTATGCATTTTTCAAATGTATAAAATTCTCATTTAATTTATCAAAGTTTTAATCTAATTTAAATTATTGTGTTTATAAAAATTTTAATTTATTTTTTATCATTTTTTCTATGATATACTACACAAATATTAACTTTCTATCTCCATATATAAATATATTATTTAATTAATGGATGTGATTTTTTTTATTAAGTTGTAATGAAATATTTACAAGATAAATTATAAATCATTTGAATTTAAGTCAATACCCATTATCTTTGAAAATTAAATTAACTATGATGTGACATCAATATTACATTTTTTTATGTAATCACAATTATTTTTAACAGTAAACAATAAATTTTTAATAATCTCTCTCATTCCTTTCAACCTTTTCTCTTTCATTTCTCTCACTCCAACTTTTCTCTGTCATTCCTACTTTAGTCCAATTGAAAAAATCAGAAACACTTGCCGTTAAACAATTTGCCTTTGTAAAGAGTTGAATTATTGACATATTCACCTTCAGGCAAAGGTTCATTCAAGATCTCCTCAATTTCACCATCTTCACTAACCTCTCTAATTTCATCATCTGCATATATTGAAAGATCATCTCTAAAAAAACTCTCGAGCCCAATTACTAATTCCTTTGCATGTCATTATGCTTGTGAAAATTTGATAAAATTATATACGACAAAAATTATAAAATGAAAAACCATTTTAAAATCATTTTTTGTAATAAATTATTTAACATCGAATGTTTCTGATTTTTTCCAGGCCAATTACCAATTCCTTTGATGTTATTATGCTTGTGAAAATTAGATAAATTAGATAAGAAAAAAATTATAAAATGAAAACTCATTATAAAATCATTTTTTTAAAGAAATTGTTTAATAGTGAGTATTTTTTATTTTTTCCAAATTAATTACCAATTCTTTTATGCTTGTGAAAATTAGATAAAATTATATAAGACAAAACTTATAAAATAAAAACTCATTATAAAATCTTTTTTTGTAAGATTGTTTAACAGCCAGTGTTTTTGATCTTTTTTCATTGGGACTACCATAGGATGACAGAGAAAATGTTAGAGTGAGAAAGATGAAAGAGAAAGGGTTGAGATTTGGGGTTTTTTTTTCTTTTTAGTTTTGAAAATAAAAATTACTAAAATACCCTTAACCTTAAAACTTAGAATCCATAATATATATAAGGATATTTTTGTCTACTAAAACCCGGTACACATTGCTAAAATGTACCAACTGAAAAACAGGCGTACGCGCGTTAGCAAAC